GATCCTTGCCGTAGGTGTACCTTTGCCACTAGCACCTTTTTTAGTACTTCTTGAACTAATTTCTTATTGTTTTTGCGCACTAAGTCTAGGAATACGTTTATTTGCCAATATGATGGCTGGTCATAATTCGGTGAAGATTTTGAGTGGTTTTGCTTGGACTATGTTGTCTATGGGAGGTATCATGCACTTAGCTCATCTGGCATCTTTTCTCATTGTATTCGCATTAACTGGGTTAGAGTTAGGTGTTGCTGTATTACAAGCTTATGCTTTTAGTATTCTAATATGTATTTACCTAAATGACGAGGGAAATGGGGACGCCAGGCTCATGCAATCTTCTACTGTCTTTTTGGGTTTTTTTTTGTTCATCTCTTGTTTGTTTCGTTGCGGACAGTGGTGATGCACCTCATGAGAGTAACCCATGTTTTCCCTGGGAAAACAAAGGTTCCTCTCATGGGAAAATAAGGAGTAAGGAGTATGGGCCCTTGCTCTGCTACTCACCACATGCCCGTTTTCCCATGGAGTATGGGCCTTGCACTGCTGCTGATCACATGCGCAAAAGACACGATATGACGGCTTATCTTTTCCACGTTCTAGTGGAAAATTGCACGTTTGGAGAGAAGTGAAGCGAGGCCCTATGGCTTCAGTATGTTCACGCGGTACTCTCCTCCGTTGTAATTTCGGGGGCCAGAAAACACAACCCTAGGTTTAGGACACATCACAGTGTGTGTCTGTATGTGTGTGTGAGAGAGAGAGAGAGAGAGAGAGAGAGAGAAGTGCCCGCTCGAGGAGCATGCATGAGCTTCCAGCTGTCATGACAATCTGCTCAACCTCAGATTACAGTTTTGTATCTCGTGAGCTCGAGTTATGGTCCATGGACTTCAGTAGTGTCTATCTGATCAGATCTCAAGGGTTTTGAACTCACGTGTATCTGATCAGGTATCTCATGGGGATTCGGACTCTCTCAATGGGGTTTCCTGTGGGGGGTTATGGCTTATGCTGGACTGTGATGTCGGGATTCACAATGCCGTTAGCTTAATGCTAAGTGGCAGCTCAAGGGGTTCCCTTTTCGGATTGACCATGATGTTGCGCCACGGATTAACTGGGAGGTTGAACTCAGAAAAGTCCAACATCGATCTTGTGATATCGTTCTCGTACCCCTTTTGCACGAATACCTTGTTCGTGCGTGGGTTCCTTATGACCCAGGACTTAAGTAGCAGCAGGTGGGGCAGAATGATCATCACAAGATGTGTGGGATCCTTACGACCTTCCGCAGATGGACATGCACATGCTTTTCCGGTTTGCCGCGCCAAGAACGGTGCTCTGATGGACTCGCACACACTAGCAGTGTGCTGGGGCAAGAATAGGAGGAAGAAAAAAACACAAAAACACTGCCTCATTTTTCCCCCGAACACGCCGCACCCTCATTTTTACTGTGTCGGGCTGGAAACATGCCTTGCATACGTTCGTTTTCAGGGTGGGTTATGTTCGGGGGAAGATGGTAGTGCAAAAACACTTGCCCAACTGTTCGGCCAGCTTGCCGATGATTTCAACGAACGATATGTGCTCTCGTACTCTGGTATTCAACGATTTAAGCGAAACACCTGTACCTCAGGAAAGTGCTCCGCGTTAACGGCCAGCCAAAAGTGGAAATCGTGCCGTTTCCACTTGGCTGAACTGGGCACCGGCCCAGGCCCGTTTATCCCAAAATCCATGCCCGTTACCACGGAGCACTTTCAGGAGGTACTGTTGGTTTAAACCACCAGTACCTACCGGTTGTTAAGGCCTGTGGCTCAGCCTACCGGTATCCCGATCCTTGCCGAGCCTCGAGTTACTGGTAGGTACACATCAAAACAAAACAAAACGAAAAACAAAAAAACAAAAAAAAGAGTTCTGCCCAAAAAGAAAAAAAGAAATTGAAAAACAACGAAGCCGGAGAGAGAGAGAGAGAGAGAGAGAGAGAGAGAGAGAGAGAGAGAGAGACGTCGTCTCTCTCTCTCTCTCTCTCTCTCTCTCTCTCTCTCTCTCTGTGGCTGCGCGGTTTGGATCTGTAAAACGGGAACAAATTTTCCCCTGCTGTCGGGAAGATTCATTCCCGTTTGGTAATTCGAATCTCTCTCTCTCTCTCTCTCTCTCTCTCTCTCTCTCTCTCTCTCTCTCCCCCCCCCCCCGCCCCCCCCGTGTGAAGGCACGATTTTTTGATTTGCTTTTTTCTTTTTTCTTGGGTAGAAGAAAATGTTTTTGTTTTCTATTTTTTGATTTTTTTTGGGGGGGGCGAAATTGCACCGACCGGGCGTTGGAGCTACCGACCCCTTAAAGTCGCGGCACGTTAACAGATGCGACTTTTTTTTATAGCTGGGCGAGGTACTGGTGGTTTAAGACTTTTTTTTCTCTGTCAAGACGAAAATCACAGAACTGAATACGGTTTTACCATAAAGCACATGTGTACATATAAAAAAGGAGAATCAGCAAAAACTAAAAAAAAAACAAAGTATCCAGCCAATGGAACAGGAGTCTCTTTTTGCTTGCTCGTGCGTAGCTTTGCCGAAATGCCGGCGCAGCGCTCTTTTTAAAATGACACAGGCTGTGCCAGCTATTTTGGTCCCTCCAATTTTTTTGGATAAGATCGATTTTGATTCTCAGGTTTGCCTGAGAGCGATGTACCGGTGGGTTTAAACTGGGCTGTGTGCAGTAATTGTTAGGCGGACGGAGATCCATGTGCCCTGCTGACTTGCTTTCCTGATGTTGGCGTGGACTTTTCTTTTTTCTTTTGTTTTTTAAATGCAGGGTGTGTATTATATATGAGCCATAGGCTGGACATTCGTTTTTATTTATTTGTTTTTTTTTCGTTTTTCTTTCTTTTTTTCTTTTCTTTTGTTTTTCGTTTTTTTTCCTTTTTTCTGTTCTTTTTTTTTTTCGTTTTTTATCCTTTTTTCCTTTTTTTTTTGTTTCGTTTTTTTTTGTCTTATTTATTTTTTGTCAGGGCATGGCCCTGTATACATTCATGTATGATGAGCCGTAGAGCCTGGCCCATGTTTTACTGGTTATATCTACTGAGAGGTGCGTTGGGTCATCTGCGAATAGGCCAAAAACAGTTTGGTATGTAACCGGGGGGAAAAAAAGAAAAAACGAGAAGCTTGGTATGTAATGTATATAGCATTGCCACTATCATCATCCTACCTATGGCAGATCCGGCCCTCGTCTCCCTTTGGGGGCGGTGGGGGGGGGGGGGGGGGGGGGGGGGGGTTTTTTGGGGGGGGGGGGGGGGGGGGGGGGGGGGGGGGGGTCAGATCTGGCTTTTGAGTTGAAGTTGGACTGCCTGGGTGATGCAAGGATTCATTGAATTTCATTCCACATAGAAATGTGGAGTACAATAAATGAGTTGTTTCCCTTTTATCAAATAAAAGAAAGAAAGGGGAAATAATATAAAAATAAATAAAAATAAATTAAATAATACAAATTATGGAACTAATAACCAGATGCATCACTCCACCAATGAAAAACGGCGATGCTCTTTCTTCATTATATGCCAAAGATGCCAAATTCTTAARAAAAAAAAAAAAAAAAGGCTAATTCTTTGAAGCCCAACCAATTCAATTACCTGTCGAATCTGGACAGGATGGCCTTTCAGCTCTTTTGATTTTTTTTATTTTTTTTTTGGAAGAAACATCATTGGCCGGAGAGGACCTGCTAGCAGGACTTGGTAAGACCGTCCTCCTCTAGCGGAGGCCTCGCAGGGTCGATGGCGTTTTCTTGTCATTAATAGTATTTCGGAGAACCCCGTAGCAGCCACATCGGCGCTCCAGCCTCCAAGGAGGGAACGTGCGGGAGCTGGCACCCACCAGCACGTGTTATTCCTGTTAAAGCAGGTTCCAGGGTCTTTCCCTCAATTGATTCAAAAGCGTAAGGGAACCGTCAGGTTGCGGTTACCCTCAGAGGCACGGCAGCGTTTAACATAAGGCCACCCTTGTCGCGAAAATTTTATTATTAGCTTGTAATTGCCGACTCAATTTTGAGAACCAGTTGACGGTGAGTGTCGCTCCCGGAGTCATATTATGAGGCTGTTCTTTTAGTCGATGGAGTGACGTGTCAGGTTGGTTTGGAGAAAGAACTTCTCTAATGGA